CCCGCCAGCTCAGGTGTATGTGGCTGGCACCTTAGCCACTTGAGCCACAGGCGCCAAGCCACCTTTCTTCCTTTTTTTTTTTTTTAAGAGACAGAGTCTCACTTTATCGCTCTTGGTAGAGTGCTCGTGGCATCACAACTCACAGCAACCTCTAACTCCTGGGCTTAGTTGATTCTCTTACCTCAGCTTCCCAAGTAGCTGGGACTACAGGTGCCTGCCACAACGCCTGGCTATTTTTGTTCTTGCTCTTGTTGCAGTTTGGCCTGGGCTGAGTTTGAACCCACCACCCTTGGTATATGGGGCCGGTGCCCTACCCACTGAGCCATAGGCGCCACCTGTCTGTCTGCATATTCTTGCCAAGAGTAAAAAATACTTTCCTGAAAGTGAAAAATACATTGTACACTACAACTTATTCAAACAGTTGGGAGAATAGGCAGACTATGTGAGAAGAATGCTCCAGTTGAAAGAATTTTGAAATATTTTCCAAAGAATTTTCCAAAGAATGAGAAGACAATAAATACAGCCAGCACCAAATCAAGCAGAAGTCTCTTTGATGATGATTCAGAAAGCCCTTTAGGATTCCAGGAGGCCTTGGGCAGGTAGGGTAGGCAACAGAGACTTTTTGTTGTTGTTGTTGTTGTTGTTTTATTTGTTTTGTTTTGTTTTGTTTTTTGTTGCAGTTGTCATTGTTGTTTTAGCTGGCTCAGGCCAGGTTTGAACCTGCCAGCCTCAGTGTATGTGGCCAGCGCCCACTGAACTACAGGTGTTGCCCCAACAGGAGACTGTTTTGATTCTTGGGGGCTAATTTGGAATGATCCCCGGATCTTAGTTTGCTGATCAATGGTTTCTTTCCCAAAAAAATGGAATATAGTGAAAGAGTTTAGTTATTTGCTCTCCTGAAAAATGGACATTTACTGAATTGTTACCAGTAGTTACAAAGGGCTAAGCCCTGGCCCCAGATCCTGTAACTTTATTCTCTACCGTCTCAATTTGCCACTGTGTACAATAAACTGTTGTTCTAACACAGAAAGGGGTACTGCTTGCCTGATACTGAGTTATCTGCAAGACAAAAGCTCCATGAGGACAAGGATCATATCTGTTTTGTTTATAATACTAACAATAATAGCAGCACCCACTAGCACTAACTGAACACTTACTGTATCAGGTACTGTTCTAAGCACTTACATATATCAACCTCATTTAATCTTTTTTTTTTTTTGAGACAGGGTCTCATTCTGTAGACCAGGCTAGAGTATACAGTGACATCATCATAGCTCACAGCAACCACAAAGTCCTGGGCTCCAGTGATCTTCCAATCTGAGCACCCTGAGTAGGACTACAGGAGTGTGTCACCATGTCTGTCTAACTTTTAAAAATTTTTGTAGAGATGGTACCTTGCTCTGTTGCTCAGGCTGGTGTTTAACTCCTAGCCTCAAGCAGTCCTCCTGCCTTGGCCTCCCAAAGTGCTGGGATTTTAAGTAGAAGCCACTCTGTCTGACCTAATCCTTTTTTTTAAAAACCACTTTATTGAGATATCATTTTATTTCTGAGATATAAGTAAATGTAATTTACTTATTTAAGTGTACAATTCAATTGCTTTTAGTATAGTGACAGAGTTGTGTAACCATCATCACTTATCTAGTTCCAGAACATTTTATATCACCCCAAATGGAAACCCTCTACCCATCAAGCAGTCACTCCCCAATAACCTCACCCTCCCCAGCCCTAGTAGCTACTAGTCCACTTCTGTCTCTATGCAGTTGCCTGTTGTGGACATCTCACATCATCATCTAATTTAATCTTCACAACAACTCAATAAATATGTATTATTATCTCACCTAAAGGTGAGGAAACAGGGCCAGAGATGTTAAGCAACTTGACCAATATCACACAGATGGGAAGAGGTGGGGCCAAAATTCAAATTTGGGCTCTGTATCTGGCTCCAAAGAGCACAGTCCTCACCATTTCACCACACTACTCTAATAAGGATACATTCCCCACTGCCTGAGTAGCCATTCAACAAACACTTGCTAAACATTTAATGAAACAGTTCTATAGCAAGAGAGTAGAAGAGAACATGGCAGAGCTGAAGAACATTGTCTTTGGAGCCAAAGAAGCTGGAGTTCCACGTCTAGCTCTGCCATTTGGTAGCTGTGTAACTCTAGGTAACTTATCCTCTCTGAGCCTGTTTCCTTCATTTTCTCACCTGCAAGCTGATGTAGCATTCATCTCACACAGTTATTTTAAGGATTAAATTAGATAACATATGTAGAAAGCACTTGACATATAATAGGAGTTCAACAAACAGTAATGACTCTAATAATGTGAATTGTTATCATTATTATTACCACCAAAGGCAGACTGCAGTTACCGGACCAACTGTTACTTGTTCTACTATGTCATGACCCATGTTCCTATTTTGTGTGTATCTGACATACAGAAGTGGTTGTGGGATCACTGAGTGAAACCCACCCAAGCTCTTTCCCAGGCTTTTTTAACCTGGAGTCTCTGAGTGGCTTTGGGACATGGCAGGCATAAACACCCTGAAATTACTGGCTAAATTCTGAGGACAAGGTCCATAGCCTTCATCAGCTTTCTAAAGCAGTCTATGGTCCAAAAAAGATTAAACTTGTGGCTTGGCACCTGTGGCTCAAGTGGCTCAGGCGCCAGCCACATACACCTAAGGTTCGAATCCCCAGCCTGGGCCCGCCAAACAACAATGATGGCTGCAACCAAAAAAATGGCTGGGCGTTGTGACGGGCGCCTGTAGTCCCAGCTACTTGGGAGGCTGAGGCAGGAGTTGGAGGTTGCTGTGATCTGTGATGCCATAGCACTCTACCCAGGGGGATAGCTTGAGGCTCTGTTTCAAAAAAAAAAAAAAAAAAGATTAAACTTGTACCACAAACACAACTCTTTGGCTAGAAATCTGTCCCTTAGTATACGTCAACATTCAATTTGAAAGCTTATTAACTGAACTTCAAATTGTTACATATTCTGAATAAACTCTATGCTCAACTGTTTTAAGACTCTCTTGGGATCACCAGTGGCCTCCAGACCCCCACTGGAAGACCACTGGATTTGAGTCCAGAGTTCCTGGCCCACCTTTTCCCCTAGAACTCTGCCACTTATTAAAAACCAAGGTCAAGCCCGGGCATGGTGACTCACACTTATAATCCTAGCACTCTGGGAGGCTGAGGCAAGAGGACTAAGCCTAAGCAAGAACAAGACCCAGTCTCTATTAAAAATAGAAAAATGATCCAGGTGCTAAGGCACATGCCTGTAGTCCCAGCTACTTGGGAGGCTGAAGCAGGAGGATCATTTGAGCCCAGAAGTTTGAGTTTGCTGTGAGCTATGACGACACCACTGGACTCTACCCACGGTAAGACTCTTGTCTCACCAAGCAAGACTCTTGTCTCAGAAAAAAAACAAACAACAAAAACAATGAAATCCAGATGCCCACTTGCCTTGCACACCAAATTCTCAATATGCCAAAACCCAAACCTGCCATCTCAAGCATCTGAGTGGGTAGAAAACTGGTGGGTTAGCCCTTAAGCAAAACTGGCTGTGACTTCACCAAACTCCAAGCAAATCCTAAACAGGCTCTCTATAAAGGTGCAAGGAATGACCCTGTCAAAGGCCCTTCTCTTAGTCCCCAAGTTCTCAAGGCTGGTGCTCGTTTCAGCAAAGGAAAAGGAAGACTGGTTATTCAAGGAAGAAAGAGCCTGTCATTAATTGATTTCCCTCATCAACTACTTTCCAACCTCACCTGGGACAATGGCTTCCTTAGCCTCAGGGACAGAAGTATTTCCCAAATATGATACTAAAGCACCATATATAGAAAATGTAACTTAGAAAGGAGACAACAGGTCATTATTCACTTTTGAAAAGCCTTCCAATCAGTTCAGCTCACAGTTACTCAAGAACACCATGCCATGAAGGAAGGGTGACAGAAGGTTGCCCTCTGTAGGTGAAGTAGACCAACTCAGCGCTACCCTTGACCTTGTGTGGCACTCACCTTGGGTCTGTGGGAGCTCCGGACCATGGCCTTGGTTTGTGGCAACTGCTGCTGCTGCTCTTCGCCTTCCTTCTCTTTACACTTCATCTTCTTGGATGGCAGAGATTCGGTCATATCATCTGGCTGCCACTTGTTCTTACACGCAAAGACCCCTACACTTTCCTGTTTCACTCGAGCCTGCCCAGCCTTACCCCGAACTTCAGCTTGGCCCCTCTGGGGAGCTGCTGGGAGGCCATCAGCCCGGAAGCAGGTGGCTAAATTGAAGGCCACGTCATTATCCACCTTCTCCATTTTCACCCGCCCCAGGTCCACCTGGCTTCCGAGCTGTGAAATCTCTGTGCTGGAGCCCCTCTTGCTGCTCGGAACCACATCCACGATGAGTTCCTTGGGGTGGCTGTCATGAGGTAGCAAAGGCAGCTCAGGCATCTTGCGCAGGTTCTGGGGGGTGGCCAAGACCAGCTCATGGGACATGTAGGTAGCCAGCACTTGGTTCTTAGGCTTCGTATCCCCTGCTAGCTTTATACTACAAGCCCCCTGGGGGCTTTCTATCTTGGGAGTGCTGTCAGAACAGAGGTGGCTCTCTGATTCCTCAGGCCCCTGATTTACTCGAATGTCCGCACTGCTAGGCTGAACAGACAGTGCAAGAGTCCCTGTCTGAGGGCTGAGGGTCAAGAGGACAGGGTTAACTTGTTCTTCATAAGGCTTGGCAGCAATCCGGCAAGGTTTGTTCTTTGTGACAGTATCCTGCTCTGGAGCAAAGGGGCCCCCAGCCCGTGGCTGCCCCTCAGGAAGTCCATGCACAGCTTCACTAGAGCCAAGAGATGGCACACCAGAAAGCTCAGAAATGACACTGGTGGGCCTGATGGGTACCCCCTGAGTGGGGGTCAGCTGCCCGGCACTGGAAATGCCAATGGAAAGCAGAGATGCATGGTGGTACGGTGACCAGCCAACAGGCAGGACCTGGGTGCTGGTGGGTTTCCCATTGACCGAACATCGTGGATAAATATTTGCTGGCCCTGTGGGTTTCCACAAAGAGAGCTCCTTGGTTTGACATGCTGGTAGCCCAGGGGCAATGCGGGCTGGGGTGTATCGTTTGACTGTGCTTGGCTGTCCCTCAGCACCAGCCTGGCCTCCCTTCTTGCCACATGTGGCACCAGTGTTCTTAGGCTCTCCTTGATCAATGATGGAAATAGGCTCCTGCTTGGGGAGATGGCGGGGGTCACGGTTGAGGCCCAGGTTGGGATCTTTGTTCAGCAGCAGGGATGCAGGCACTGGGTTGGCCACTCCCACATAGGTGCCAGGAATGGTGCTGATCAGCGCAGTTGAGTTTTTTACCCAGGTGCTTGGGTCCCCATTCCTCACAATCTCGGGAAAGATGACAAAAGGCGAGGAAGCAGAGCCCAGGCAGGAGGTGACATTGCTGCCAGCAGCCTGTGTTGTGCGCTGAGACCTAGACAGGACTGTGGAGAGGAGGGCCTTACTGCTGGTGTGCACAGGAGTCAACACAGGCATGGGGGGTGTCTTGCGCTGGTTCGGCAATGGAAGCTTCTGGCGGTTGGACTTGGAGGAGAGGTCAAGGGGCATCTCACTACACTCAGATGGAGAGGCCATCTCTCGCTCCAGCTGTGGAGGGGACTTGAGGGGAGAGAAGGTAACAGAAGTCCCTTCTGTTTGCTGCTCAGTGCCACCTGGCATCTTGGCAGGGTGTAGTGGGGCTGAACTCCCACTGGGGGCTGGCAGCAAAGGCTGTGGAGCTGGAAGCACCTTGGCAGAAGCAGTGGCAAGAGAGGTATCTGCCAAAGGCCCAGGGACCCCATCGGGTGCAGGCTGGGTAGTGGTGCTGCCAGATGGGGAAGTGCAAGGGAGCCTGTTCACCTCCAGGGAGACCAGCTTGGAATCTGAAGTCAGAGGCCGGGCCACAGAAAATGCATATGGGTAAGACCGGAGCTCTGGGGAAGCCAGCACACCTGGAAGACACCTGTCCTGCAGGTAGGATGGCAGGACAGGGAGTGTGAGAGTGGAGGAGACCCCCAGGGTGGTTGGCAGTGTGGCCACACTGAGCGGCTGCCCACAGCTCGGAGGTGGGATATATACCAGTGGCTGGCTCGGGGTCAGCACTGTCCCTGGCTGAAAGGACAGGGGTACTTTTTGCATAGCTGGTGCCTGAGCTGCAGGAAAACACACTCGACTCAAACTGAAGGAGGCCGGGATGGGTGCAGAGGTGGGAACGGCAGTTGGTGTGGCAGCAGGCATGGGTGTGGGGGCTGGAGTAAAGATTGGGGCTGGGGTGGGTGCAGGCACTGGCGTGGGAGCAAAGGCAGGGATGAGGGTAGGGGTAGAAGGTGGGCCTGAAGATGGGGTTGGGGTGGGCATCGGCACAGATTGGGGGGCAGGAGCTGCTGGAGGTGTGGATGCCGGCAGGGGAGCCAGAACTGGAGTGGGGACAGGAGCAAGAACCAAGGTTGGAGCTGAAGGGGGCACAGGAGCCTGAATCAAAGCCAAGGGAGGAGCTGAAACTGGAACTGAGAGGGGTGTAGGAGCTGGAGTGGACAGGGGAACTGAGCCTGAAGGGGGAGCAGAAACTGGCACAGGCACCAAGACTGAGGCTGAAACCGAAAGGGGGTTCGAGTCAGAGATAAGTGTAGGCAGTGACGGTGGTGCTGGAGCCAGAGCAGGGACTGGTGCCAAGGGAGGGGAAGGAGCTGGAACCGAAGTGGCAACTTGGACTGGAACGAGCCCAGAATGGGGCACTGGGGCAGGGACGGAAAGGGGAACCTGGAATGGATCTGGAACAGATTGGGGGACAGAGGCTGAACCGGGAGCAGGGGGACAAATAGGGGCTGGCAGAGGACTGAAGTTAGTGGTAACAAGAGGCAAGGTCCCTTCAACAGGGACTCCAGTCCCCAGAGTTGCCAAAATGAAAGTATTCTTCTCCCCGACACTGTGTCGAGAGTCCAAAGCCTTTACCCCCACTGCTGAGCAGTCAACCTGTTTGCTCATTTGGGTGTTGAGGGGAGTCCAGGAGCAATCAGCCCTGTTGTTGCTTGCCTCAGCACTGTCAGGAGCAGGAAGCTTGAGCCCGTCTCCTGGGCTGCTCAGTGGTGCCAAGAGGCCCTCAGCCTCTGCTGCATTCCCAGCATAGTCCATTTTTGGCTGTGGGTCGTCAGACTTGTCTTCTGACTTCTGCCCAAGTTTTTCTGTTGCAGTGCCATCTGAATCTGCCCCCCGGGCATTGCTGCCACTTCCACCTGTCGTGAGCTCCACCTGCGATGACAGAATAGCATGCACGTCTTAGCTAGCTCCCTGTGGATGGTGCAAATGTCCTGGGGCCCCTCAGAGGCAACTGTAGCTTGACCAACCACATCTCAGCAGAAGCAAAGGGCAGCTAGCCAATTTCTGTCTTCCCATGCCAAGTCCCAGGAGGTACCCTGTCCCTTCCTGCCCCCTTCTTGGGATGACAGGCTGGGCACAACTGGGCAGCTCAGCTCCTCTATTTAACAGGTAGCTTTACATGGCCCCTTACCTTGGAAAAACTGCTGCTGACACAAAACTCCTGAGATCCAAAGTGCTGGCAGTCACCTGTCGTGGACTCCTCATCAGAAAGAGGTGCTCTTCTAGTATGGAAGACACAACCAGAGAAGGGACATGAGGCCCAGTATTGAGCCATTGCCATCTTCCCCCAAATGCCCACTATCTGCCTGTGTTTCCATAAAACCTTCCTGTCTTGCTTCCCTTGGTGGTTTGGAGGGGATCATGGAGAACTGGGGGGTCCAGGTTGCAACCTCCACACTCAGCTTTGAAAGTTCCTGCCAAGGAGCCTGATCAGACTAGACTCTCCTAGTTACGCTGTTTATCCCAGGGTCTTGCCAGGAGTGTGGCAAACACCCTAGCACCTTTATCTTTTCCCCAGAACTTTCTCATCAGGGTCACCACCCAGGATATATAGGGCATTGGCCAAAAGGGAGAAAAATATGAACCACTAAAGGCCTCAAAAGACATGCAAACTATTTTTCTTTTCAATACAATCTTATTTTAAGTCCATAAGGGAAGCTAGCTGAAAATGCCATATGGGGCTTGGCGCCTATACCACAGTGGTTATGGCGCCAGCCACATGCACCAAGGCTGGCAGGTTTAAGCCCAGCCTGGGTCAGCTAAACAACGATACTTGCAACAAAAAAATAGCCGGGCGTTGTGGCAGGTGCCTGTAGTCCCAGCTATTTGGGACACTGAGATAAGAGAATCGCTTAAGCCCAAGAATTTGAGGTTGCTGTGATCTGAGATGCCACAGCACTCTATTGAGGGGGACATAGTAAGACTCTGTCTCAAAATAAAAATGCCATATAGGTAATCCTTTTCTAAAACAAACAACCACCCTCATTGTGTTTTCAGGTCTAGTCTATTAGGATAGGTAATGATACTGCTTTGAGGCCACCAGGTCACTGGGTACCAAGGGTATCTTAAAGACACCACTTCTTTCCCTCCAGGAAGTATCTCCCCCTTTTCTAGGATTCCAACCAGCATCCTCCCTTCTACCTTCCTTCTGCCCTTTCCTATGTCCCATTCACTGCCAGTGCCCTATGCCCTCTCCCAGCTTTCTAGCACCATAAGACTCTCTTCCAACCTAAAGGGATCCCCTCAAGGCCACAGATCCCGCATTCAGATTATTATAGCACAGAGAAAAGGGATCAAGGCCAGAGAGCTGGGTTCCAAAGGAGGAAAACTCAACTGTAGCTCTCCCTGCTCAAAAAGTCTCCAAATTACAGGTAAGAAAATGGTCTATCTGGCTCGGCGCCTATAGCTCAACTGGCTAAGGCGCCAGCCACGTACACCTAAGGTGGCAGGTTCGAATCCCCAGCCCGGACCCGCCAAACAACAATGACGGCTGCAACCAAAAAATAGCCAGGCGTTGTGGCGGGCGCCTGTGGTCCCAGCTACTTGGGAGGCGGAGGCAAGAGACTCGCTTGAGCCCAGGAGTTGGAGGTTGCTGTGAGCTGTAATGCCAGGGCACTCTACCCAGGGGGACAGCTTGAGGCTCTGTCTCAAAAAAAAAAAAAGAAAATGGTCTATCTAACTAAAAAAATAAAAAATAATAAAAAATCAGCCTGAGAGGTTAAAGTTTGGTATTTTAAGTAAGGTGAGAACTACTGCCCACTGCCTTAGGGAGGAGACTCCTAGGGGAGGAACTTGGGGGGTAGAAGCAGCCAAGGAGGAGGTTTTGGTTAAAGAATGAAGCCCCAACATAAACACTGTTTTCCTGGGTGGGCAAACTATAGGACTGCTCTGTGTGCCCCTGGGGAAATACACTGCATGTAGGGTCAACCCCGTTCTTTGGAGCCTCACCCAGAGCTCCTGAAGACAGCCATAGAAGAAGCTGGCTCCTGCCCCATCAGCCACCCTAGCCAACAAGGAGGTACACGGCCCTGCTAACTCTCTCCTTCTTGCTGAAACTGGGACTCCAAAATTGTACCTGGAGCAAGAGAAGCAAAAAAGGCAAGGAGAGGCACCACAGGCCTCTCTTTCTCCCCATCTTTCCAGGGCTCCAGAAGGGGCTAACCAAGGGGGAAAGAATTATTCCCTTCAAAAGGCAGCTAGGCTGCCAAAAGTGGCAGGGTTCCACGGCTAGAAATGACTGTTGGTGACAAACAGAAATGATTGTAAGGAGAGGCAAGGGTTTTACATTCAGTCAGGAGGTCTGAAGGGAAGGCCCAAGGGAAAGGGAAAATATTCTTCACATCAACTCCTCAGAGACCAGAAAAGCAGGACCTATACCTAGCCTTGGGCTGGGGAAAGCATGTTCCAACTAGACTTGCCAGGGATGGTTTTGGGGGGAGGACGATAGTGCCAGCGGTTCCCCCCTTCACCAACCCCACATGGGAAGGTACTATTTATTTACATTCTTTTCTCTCCTGACCATACAAAGGAGAATGAGCTGCATACTCGCTCCCCTGTGCTCAGCTCCCACATGCCTGAAATCACACTTGAAAGCAGAAACCCTGCCCTCGAAGGCAGTCACCGGAGAACTGCAGAGCCAGGCCAAGCAACAGCAGTGCTGGCTACTCCAGCCATCCCCACACTTGCGTGTCAGCCCTTAAGGCGCTAGGAAAATGTCGTGTGGCCACGTTTCAAATCCTCTAAGGAGAGGGTGTGCAGAGCTAAGCAAACATTAAATTGCTCCATTGAGAAAAGAGCCTGGGACAGGGATAACTTGCAGGGAGGAGGTCTGAGGAGAGCTGGGTTATAAAGGTGTGGGTGGGGATACAAGGGCAGGAGGGAACAGCAAGGACACAGAGCTGTTATGCTCAAAGCTTTGGTGAACTTAAACCAGAAACGGGCATGACCTCTCAGGGTCTTTTTCCTAATTATTAAGGGCTAGCACCATTGTCAAACCGGACCTTTATCAGTTTTTATTGGGCCCGGACTAACTCTTATATATCATCAGCACACACAAGGCTCCTTACCTCCTGGCCCCTGCAGACTCTTCCTGGCTCAAGTGTCACCCTACCCCAAGACTGTCTTCATTCCAGGGAATAACTGGAATAAAAAGACTGTCTTATTATCTCAGGGAAACACCAGTTCTCAGCTCAAACTCCTACTCATTCCTGAAGCTCATCCCTCAAGCTTGAATGGCATTGTCTCCAGGAAGCCTTCCCTTATTTCCCCAAGAAATTGGTCATTTCTGCTTCTAGATTCCCACAGAACCTGTACATGCTACTCCAGAGCACTAACCACCTTGACTATTGGTTCACTCTATTTGTGTTGAATAAATGCTTGTTGAATGAAGGAATGAACTAATGCTAGAAAAAAAGCAAGCAAGTAAACAAACTGATTTAGCCAGAAGTTTGACTAGGGTCAGCCACCTAGAGCCAGCAGCAAGCCCATCTGCCCTGTTCTAAGGTCCCTAACCACAGCTGCTAAAGCTGGGCAGGCTTCTAAAGTATCACTTTAAGAGTTAACCCCCCAAGTGCAGCATTATTCCCCAAATTTCTACGTTCTACTCATGTAAAGGACTTTTTTATAAATAAAGATCACATTTTGGAAATCAGCAGTAGCATGGCCTAAACTATGGCAAGAAAGTGACAAAGGGTGGATGAGAACAGAAGTGACAAAGGTCACTGAAAAGGTCATCTAAACCATCTAAGGCACATTTGGTCAGTTAGCATCCCAAGAAAGGTCCAGAAGAGGGAAAATCAGGTTTTAAGCCCACTTCCTGATCCTTTCTTAGCAGGGATTTAGAGTGAACCAAGGTAACTTGTCCACTGGTTCTATGAAGGCTCTAGTCCAAATCTCTGCATCAAAGTCTCAACTACTTATAATCAGATCAACACAACCTGGCAATGAATACATACACAAATCAATACCAGCACTCTGCCTTTCCCTAGATCATCTATCTCTTAGTAATTATCTAAGGACATACCTCATACGCAAAGGAAATTACTTTTCTTCTTCAGCATTTGAGAGAAATTTTGTCTTATTTTCCTTGGTCTTGACTTCTGTATTCTGATTTTAAATTCCTTTTAAGTCCATCTCTAACTTGTTCCTCAGTACAGAGAACATTAAGCTATCAGCCACTAATGGCTTAAGAAAATAAAGAGGTCTATTCTCCTAACCTTAACCTCAGACAAGTACATACTTCTTCAGTTAGGAAAAGAAAAAGAAAGTAGATAAACACAAAGACATCCACTCCTTTTCTCTTCAAAATCACCAATATCCTTCCATATGCCAATGTACACTTGTAAGACTTACTCAAGATACATCAGTTCTTCAATCCTGGGAAAAGCCATGTCATTCTGTTTTTGGTGATTTAACTGCTGTATTTGAATGTAAACAATGGACTGAAATAACAGCAAAACACCAGCAAGCATGAGGGTGCCATACCTTCTCTAAAAATGGAAGAGGCATTATAGCCATCATACAGATATCTTTGGCCAAGGGTTATGAAAGTCAAGTATAAATTCTGAAGGCCATTTTGAGAGCCCTTGTTATGGGGGCATGATCAGGAAATAGCACATTTTGTTCAACCAAATTATTTTGGTGAAGAGAAATTTGAAGACACACACATCAGGCAAACATCACCAACTCTCAATGTTGTGTTAGAACTATGTTAGACAGGCTCATCTTCCTTTGATACTTCATAAGGATCTCATTTTAAATCAGGAGTAGCCTCATGTTGCAGGAAAGTCCTGATCGCAAGCATGCCTACTACCAGTTCCTAGTATAAAGTTGAATGATGAAACTGCCTTTCTTCCAGGCCTAGATCAAGGACCAAAAATATCTTACACGTATCCTTCAGCACTAACTAAAAGTTGCAATCACCTGAGCTTTTCCTTATTCCACACAATCTGACAGTTCTTAATGAGTAGACAAGTACTAGCTGGCAAAAGGCCTCCTCACCTTCATCTAAACAGGCACAGGTAGAGCAGGCCACTCCCTCATCCCTATCTTATCTCAGGAGCATCAAAACTAATCAAGAAGAGTCCTCCCCAGGCCCTATCGCATATGGCCACCCCTCCGGTGACCAGGTATCACTCAATGGGGGCCAGCAATAGTCACTTTCCAAGCTTCCTCACCTCTCTTCGTTGATGCCACACATGCGAATCCGGTCAGAACTGGTCCAGTTGTGCCCGCCGCTGTAGAGCGGTGCTGTAGAGATCATGACAGCCACTCACCACCAGATAGGACCCGCCGTGGCCACTCCCCCCTGGGGAAAAAGCCAACACAATCAAAATTTGTAACAGGGACAGCTGCTTTAACCACCTTTTACACAGAAACATTTCAATAAAGGTAATTATAGCATCAAAATGTTAAAGCAGTCTCTCTAACAAACCAGCCTGCTATGTAAAATTAAGGTCCAAGTGGGAAACAGGGAGCTCCAGCCTTCTAGAAATCCATAGGTTTTAGGATGGAGATGAGGACACTGTTAATCACCTACGGTGATTTTTAAATTACTGTAAAAGACAGAAACACTTGAGTATTCAAGGAAATTCAATCTATTTCAGACAATGAAATGACAGTATGTTTTTCTACACATTTAACCTAACCAACTACAATTAGAGGGTTGTACCCATATATGAATGGTGCATTCAAAGACTACTGGGGATCTTTTTCTTATCTACTCTCTAATCCACGGTACCAAAGTATTTCAATGACACAGGCAATTTTAGCTCTCCAGAGGATGCACATGCTTTCTTTATAAGCCCTTCAAAAATACTCTATTCTGACTTCAGGTTAGACATAATGATCCCTCCAAATCAGGTGTGATATTCCTTATACTCTGATGACCAACAAGCAAACAAAAAACAATGTTCCATCAAGAACCACATGTTTCTGTCCTTGTCCTTTCCTAGTCTGTCATCCCCATGACCTACCACCTCCTTCACCAACCAATGTCCAGCTCTCACTGCTGACAATCAGGGCACACAGTTAATTCACCTTTCAGAGAAAATGAGGCATCAAGAAAAATAGCTTTATCCAATGAGCTTGTTTTGAGAACCTTAAACTCTTAAGTTCGCTTATTAGTTAAAATCCTTATTCATCAAAGCTCAACTGAAAAGAACCCTACAGTGATCAGTATTTTATGTTGTCTTCTACTTTCCAAAGAGGTAAATCACATTAAAATACAGTCACACCAGGGATTTGTTTCATTTATCTTTTTTTCAGCTTTCAGATACTGTCCACATTCAGCATAGTGTCACAATTGATTGAGTCTGTATCATGTTGCAGCACTGTCCTAGGTATCAGGGATTTAATGATTAACAAAACAGACCAAAATACCCACTTGCATGGAGCTTATATCCTAGCAGGACAAGAGGGACAATAAAGATGTTAACTAATTCTATGTTACAGCATGTTAGAAGGTGGTGCAATACAGGTTAACAAACATGGAGACAGTGGAGGGGTGTGGGACAGGTAGGCTACAATTGGAAATAGGGTGATCATGTCAGGCTTTGCTGAGGAGGTATTTAGATAACCTGAAGGAGATGAAGGAGCAAGCCATGTGAATATCTGGAGGAAAAGCATTCCAGGCAGAGGGAAGGGTGCAATGCCAGGGTCCTAGGCAGGCAGTTTCCCACTAAGATGATGGTACAGCCAATAGGCCAGTGTGGAGAGGAAGGGGGAGATAGTAAGAGGTGAGCAGAGATGTGTCCACCCTTGCCCTTGCTGGGCCTCATCCTGCTCCCCATCTCTGCAGAGCAGGACACTGCTTCCTTCACCCTTTTTCTTTATACTTTCCCCTCTCCTAGCTCCCCTGACCCAGTGCCTTCTGGTTTATCTGGGGCCCTTTTCTCCCAGTGCCCACCTCAGGGAGCTGGGCATTCACTGAGGTCTGCCCTATATCTGGCTCTCCGGCACTCCTCACCTCTGCCCCACTCACCCATTCTTTCCTCTTCCTGTGTCTCAAGGCTCCTTTCCTCCTTCCCTTCCTACCCCACCCAACCCTCCCTCCTCTGCTCCCTCCCTTTCTTTCTCCATCCCTTTTCCTCCATCCCTTCTCCCCTGTCCTCTCCTTGCTTTATCTCACCTTCCCCATTACCCTCAGTCTCTCCTCCCTCTCCCCCCTTTCTCCTTCTCTTGTGCTTCCCCCTCCCTTCTACTCTTTGGCCTTCAGTCTGTCTGTCTGTTTCCCTCTGCTTCTCTTTTCCTCCTCCTCTGCCTTTTTCTCACTCTCCCAGCCCATCTCTCTCCCTCTGTGAGAGTTGTCAGCACTGCCCCTCCACTGTCAGCTCACGAGTTCCCACAGTTTCAACTCACCCTTGGTGCTCTGATGACTCCCCAATCTATATCTCTAGCCCTGACCTCTCTCCTTAGGCCCAGACCAGAATTTCCAGCTGCCAGTAACTCACCGTTAATTGGATGTCCACCAAGCCCCTCAAACTCAACATGTCTCAAACCATACTCATTATCTATTCCCATAAACCCACTCTGCAACTCCCACACTCAGCATGCAGCGTATTTCCCATCTTAGTTAATAGCACATGTCCCCTAGCCTAGAAATGTCTCCCTTGTCATCTTCAACTCTTTCTCTTCCCCAGCCACCCATATCCAATCAGGAGTCAAGCCTCAATAATGCTGTCTCCATCTTCACCTTCTACCTCTCTTGCCACTACCCTCATGCAGGTCCTCATCAGCTCTCACCCAGAATATTACAATAGTCTCTTAACTGTTCCCTCTGCCTCCAATCTCTTGATTTTATAATCAATTCATCTTCTAAAGTGCCTGTTCCATCATACCACCCCCCCCTTCCTCCTCAAAAGCTTGCAACAGCTTCCCTGGGCCTTCAATATCAAGCCTGTTTTTCTTAGTATAATCTTCAGGCCCTCAGGAACTGGCCTCAAACCTCCTCTCCAGCCTCCTCTTCCACCACGTCCTGCCAGTTTCCTGCACCCCCACCCCATTCCTGACTTTTCCCAAGCAGACAATCTAACTTTAGGACTCTACTGCTTCCACACTCTGAAACAGCCTCTCCTGGTGCCCCCTTTTCTCCGTTATCCCTCAAGACCTAGTTAAATGTTATCCTGTCATCTCTGAGCCCCTTACCAGTTAACCCCTCCCTCTCTGGTTCTCCTAAACATCTAATTTCTACCTCTACCACAGCATTGACTCTTATTCTCCTCTGCAGTATGGTTAGTTGGGTGCATGGCATGTCTATCTCCCCCATCAGACAAACAGCTACTCAGGGTAAGAAGCAGCATCATTTCTGTTTCTGGTTCCTCTGTAACACCTTACATATAGTAAGTACTCAGTAAATGCAAGTTATATGCAACTGACTTCTGGATAGGAATTGAGGTGATGACCCTGAGAAATCACAAACAGGAAATTAACCAAACAAAAAATGTTCACCATGCTTCCTTACTATAGAAAAGAATTTTGTACTTAAATGAAAAGAACTATGCATGGCATGCCCTTCTGAGCTATCTGATTTTAGCCCAGTTCATTGTCTTTAAGCTATTTTGCACCTCTATAAATTGTAACTGATGGACATATAAAGTCTATCTTGTCCCATAGAATTTGGATTGATTTCCCTCCCCACTGTGGAAAAACCAGTTGTCTCTATTTGCAATTCTTTTACTCCATATAAATTTGTGCTTTTTGACTTTTTATTTGAACTGGCTATATCTGTCTGGTTCCCTTGTTGATTAACTGAGTAAAATAAAATCTTTAACATGTGTTCATTTTTTTTTTTTTTCAAACTGACCAACCTGGGATCACATGGAGCCTCTACACTTGGTTAGCAGGTGGCCTGGGATGTTCCTCACTTGCTCTCAATTTCAATGTCCTCCTCTCTCCCAGGAGAGTGGGGAGGGAGTGAGTCCCATTTTTTTTTTTTTAGAGAAAGAGTCTCACTTTATCACCCTCGGTAGAATCCTGTGGCATCACAGCTCACAGCAACCTCTAACTCCTGAGCTTAGGTGATTCTCTTGCCTCAGCCTCCTAAGTAGCTATGACTACAGGCACCCACCACAATGCCCAGCTATTTTTTTTGTTGCAGTTTGGCTGGGGCCAGGTTTGAACCCACCACCCTCAGTATATGGGGCCAGCACCCTACCCTCTGAGCCACAGGCGCCACCCAACATGTGTTCATTTTTATATATGCAAGAGAGTTCTTATTTTTTTTTTTTACCTTTTTCTGAAAGTTATCTTTTAACATTACTAAGATAGTTATGCGAGGTAGCATAATTTTAGAAAGTTTTTTTAAATTTTATTTTTATTTTGTACAGACAGAGTTTCACTTTATCACCCCTGGTAGAGTGCTATGGAGTCACACAGCTCACAGCAACCTCCAACCCCTGGGCTTAGGCAATTCTCTTGCCTCAGCCTCCCGAGTAGCTGGGACTACAGGTGCCCATCACAATGCCCGGCTACTTTTTTGTTGCAGTTTGGCCAGGGCTGGGTTTGAACAGGCCACCCTTGGCTTATGGGGCCAGCACCCTACCCACTGAGCCACAGGTGCTGCCTGAAAGATTTCTTTTTTTGAGGCAGAGACTCAAGCTATCCTCCTGGGTAGAGTGCCACGGCATCATAGCTCACAGCAACCTCCAACTCAGGCTCAAGCGATCCTCTTGCCTCAGTTTTTCTATTTTTAGTAGAGACAGAGTCTTGCTTTTGCTCAGGCTGGTCTTGAACTCGTGAGCTCAAGCAATCTGCCTGCGTCAGCCTCCCAGATTGCTAGGATTAGTGAGCCACCGTGCCTGGCCATTTTTAGAAAGATTTTTAACAGGATCCCATTCCCAGGACATCCTCATTAATCAAGTTTTGACTGCTTCTTAGACTAGGAATATCCTCAGTTTAAGAAACAACAGCTCAACCTATTGGCTATTACACTAGGTACTTTTTTTTTTTTTTTGAGACCGAGTCTCAAGCTGTTTGCCCTGGGTAGATTGCCGTGGCATCACAGCTCACAGCAACCTCAAACTCTTGGGCTTAAGCAATTCTCTTGCCTCAGCCTCCCAAGTAGCTGAGACTACAGGTGCCCACCATGACACCCGGCTATTTGTTGTTGTTGTTGTTACAGTTGTCACTGTTGTTTTAGCTGGCCCGGGCTGGGTTCAAATCTGCCAGCCTGGGGTGTACATGGCCGGTACCCTACCCACTGAGTTACCAGGTACTTTTTTCTTTCTTTCTTTTTTTTTTTTCTGTAGAGACAGTCTCACTTTGTTGCCCTTGGTAGAGTGCCCTGGCATCACACAGCTCACAGCAACC